GCCAGTAGCTGACTCAAGGCAATATTTTGACTCGCTGAATATCAAAAGTTGGCTAAAAGAGCAACTAAAGCCTCTTGTGAAGTGACTACACAGTCACCCTCATTTACCATTTGGGGAAACTGAGGCCCAAGGAGGTTTGGTGACTTACCCATAGAGCCCTGGGGAGCACCCTTTTCAATGTTGACTGAGGTAGTTTTGCTGCTAGAAATTGTCCAACTATAGTTTGAATAAAATATTTAGAAAATTAGTTGCTATGTTTTTGAGCTTCTGCTGTATAATGCATTTTATTTGGTGCTTTATATACGTTGGTTTTGTCCCTTACATTAGCTTTAAGAGGTAAGCACTCTCAATAGCCTCCTTTACCAATTGAGGAAACTGAAAGAACTTGTTGGATTTCCCCCAGGTAGGCACAGCTGATTACAGTGCAGAACTGGCTGACTCTCTAGGCGGGGTTGCGGAGGGGGGCCTCCATATCCTCACCATTCCTTCCTTAGCCCACCTCCCCCACCCATACACGAGGGCAGAATGGGACCAGAGTGGGCTTGCTCCCAGGAAAACTGCTTGGAGTTCTGGGGAACTGTGACTGGTTGAGGCCATGCCTCTGGAGCTACTGCATAAATTCACACACTTCTTCCCTGAACTCAGCCTTCTCTAAGTTGGCTGAGCTGGCCCCAGGAAGCTGGGCTGGGAGCAAAATGTGCAAGGCTCATGCTGCAGCTGTTTCCTCTTCACTGAGAAGGATCCCTGGGGCAGGTTTGTGGCTGGTCTCCTGCCTGTGTTTTGAGAGGAGGGGAGAAGGAAGAAACTCTGCCCTGGTCCCAGAATGGCCTGAGGCTGGCCCTGGGAGCAGGGATGGCCACAGCCTACTCCCTGCCATGACAGCAGCAGCTGCAGCAAGCAGCCCCTGCCAGGGACCACAGAGTGGCCTTAGAAGATTCTCTTACCTGCCAGTCCACCTAAAACTTAGACAGCCATACAGGTTGAGAAACCTAAGGTTTGAGGGGCCCTGCATTTGGCAGGACCACTTTTTTGGCAGGAACCATGAGGGATGGCAGCCCCACCCTGGGGGAGCTGCAGAGTCTATCCCTCACTGTCCCCTTTGCCTTCTACCCCACCTCACTCTCCTGGCCAATGAACTCTGTGGTCCCAAGTAAAGGCAGCATAGCCTATTGGTGAAGGACAACACTGGGACCTGGTGGGGTAACGAGGAATGTGGAGAAGGGGCCTGGGCCAGAGGTGGCTGAGCTAGGGGGCTACCAGCTATGGATGATCCCACCTACCTCCTGTCCTACTGTCTTGGGGGGACACAGGTAGAGACACTGTGAGTGGCTGTGCGGGGTCCATGATCCTGGAAGGGACAAGGCAGGGAGGTGAGAGACAGCACAGTTTCAAGGCTGGTTCTTACCAGCAAAGATGACCGTGGGCCTAGTTAGGAGGCTGGCCTGAAGCTGGAGAGAGAGAATCTCAGTTCCGAGGACACAACCCTGCCTAGTTCACCCACTGCCACCACACACGCAGAGGGCTTTTTAAACTTCCCTAAGTAGAGGACTTTGTATAAATCCACACATGTCTTTAAAATCCCCTCACACCTGGCTCCTCCTCAGCCTGGGCCAAAGCAGCTGGTCCCTCAGGCTCCCCGCAGTGAATGACTTTCCCAAAGGAGCAGCCTTTTACACATGGTCTGCTACTTCCTAAAAAACTAGCATCTGACCTTGAAGGTGGTAATAATAACAGTAATGCCAATCTTTCTCATTTGTACTGCACTTTACAATTTACAAAGTTCTTTTGGTGTCCATTATCCCACCTAATCCTCGCACCACTGCAGTGGACTGGGGAGATGGGGAGGATAGATAGAGGAGTTATTTTGATCTCTGTTTCACAAGTGCCCGAGGCTCGGAGGGGTGCCTTGGCCTGTTCAGGATCCCCTGGCATAGCCTGGACCCCAGCCCTGTAGCCCATGGCTCCTTCCATAACACGCTCCAGATGCCTGTGGCAGGGAAGTGGACAATGTAGAGAGCAGTGGGCTGGCCTTTACCCCAACAGAGCACAGAAGCAAGGGCAAGAGAAGACCCAAAGGGACTGCCCTCCAGCCAGGGCATCAAGGTTCTGGAAAGCAGCCCTCTTTGAGGTTCAATTTGCCTAATGCCTCTGTTCACAGGAACTCCAGCCCCAAACTCAGCAGGACAGTTCAGTCTTTGATTCACAAGGATGTCTAGGCCCATAAGGTTTTTCACTTGGCCTTTGGTCTTCCTTGATGCCCAGCCAAACTTACTAGTCTCACCCTAAATCATTGCCATTTCTGCTCACTCCTGTCTGACAAGGCCCAGATTGAATGCCTCCTCCTCAAGGCAGCTTTTCTGAGCCCAAGGGGTATCTTTCTGCCTTTAAAATTTATCCTGGAATTTGATAACAAAGTATAAAGAATGATACCCCACCACCCAGCTTAAGCAATAATGGGGGCTCTTCTTTAAGGCCTGCATCATGCTGTTCCTTCAGACTTTTACATATAGGACTCTCTCCCTGTTAGCCTAGGAGCTCCCCAAAAGCAAAGGCTGGGGTTCTCCCTTCTTGGCCTGCCTTGCAGCTCTGAGCTCAATGTCTATCACTTACTGAATGTGAAGGAGAGGTTCGTCATAATTCCACAGGGGGGAATACAACTTCACAAACAACTCCACTACTGCCACCCCATCTCCCTCATGCCCAGCACAATAATGACAACACTGTCAGTAATTTTAGGGCTGAGGTAAAAGCATCTGTGCTTTGGAAAGTTGGGGATTCAGATAGATGATAGGCCCCCTATTCCCATCAGACTCTGGGACAGAAGACTCTGAGTGGTTGTGTGTGTATGTATGATTGTGTATTTGGGGGGGGTGGCACTGTGTGTTTGTGGGGCTATCAGTTGCAAGGCTGAACTGGAAAAAATATGTCACACGGAAATGTCATGAAAAAATATTTCACACGGAAAAAAAACCCTAACCTGAGCAAATGGCAATACAGATCTCTTCAGAGAGGGGATCAGAAGAATTTTTTTTTCTCTCTTTTCTGGATAACCAGCCATTATCTTGCTCCAAGTTAAATATTCAGTTCTGCAGAGTGCTCCTGATGGAAGCATGGACCACACTGATGATTCAAGTGTCAAGTCAAGCAAGGCACAAGGCAGAAAATTAATGTTTGCAAGACAGGATCAAGGACTCCAAGAGGGTTCTTCAAATGACGTCAGAGGCTAGAGTGTAGCTGCCAGCATCTCTTCACCCCCAGTGATGGTCCATAGTCTCCCACTGCAGGTGAATGTGTGAGTCTTTTTACTGTGGCATGGCTGATGTGCTAGCCAGCTGCTCCCAGGACAACAGTGGTGCTTGCCTCTCTCTGGCTCCCAGCAGCTGTTCTGCCTCCCTTCCCTACCCTAGCTCCCCATCTGCTGGTGGCTACTCTACAGAGAGCGGACACAGTGGTGAGGGACTTTCCAGGGAGGGGTCATTTGGTTTTTGCAGGCTGGTCACTGATCTAGCTGTCGACCATCTGTAGTCACTGGAATGAATACATCAGACCTGTGGGGGGTTGGGGGACATGTGTTGGGGTGGGTAGTAGCTAGCTCTTCTTTTTATCCATCTCTGTGGCATTTGGAAGTTTGGAGGACTGGGAGCCTAGACCAGAAGGGTGTACCTTGCACCAGGTTTATTTATTTAAATAGCTGTTAAGAGGCTAACTTCCAAGCCAGGAATATGAATCATGTGGAGTTGTGCCTTCAAGGAGTTCCCTTTCTAGATAGGGAGCTAGATGGGGGCCAAAATAATGAAGGGAGTGGAGAAGAAACAGTCTGCCTCATGGTTCTAAAGTGGAACTTGGGCATTCTAGTTGCCAAGGGCTGAATTAAAATCTCTTCCCAGGGGCCAGCCCCGTGGCTTAGCGGTTAAGTGCGCACGCTCTGCTACTGGTGGCCCGGGTTCAGATCCCAGGCGCGCACTGACGCACCGCTTGTCCAGCCACGCTGAGGCCGTGTCCCACATACAGCAACTAGAAGGATGTGCAACTATGACATACAACTATCTACTGGGGCCTTGGGGAGAAAAAACGAAAAAAAAAGGAGGAAGATTGGCAATAGATGTTAGCTCAAGTCCGGTCTTTCTCAGCAAAAAGAGGAGGATTGGCATGGATGTTAGCTCAGGACTGATCTTCCTCAGAAAAAAAGAAAAATCTCTTCCCAGCAAGACAGTCAATAGAGAATGTGACTTAGACCTACCTCTCACATAACCACTATGAGGGGGAGGTAATGCTAGGCCTCTTGGACTAAGGATACTGAAGCCCAGAGAATGCCTTGCCCCCAGGCCACCGTGCTGTTTTAGCAGATTCTGGATTGCAGCTCTGGAATAGGGGTCTGCGAGGCTCCTACTCTGGACTTCTGAAGATCTGAGCATGGTCCTGCAGGCAATTTAGGGAGACTGTGGGGAGGAGGTGAAACTTCAGGTCTGCTTTTCTTCCCAGCCACAGGCAAAATGTCACTGAGAGCCCTGGCTAATGTGAAATCGAGGCCTAGACCCTGAAGAGCCCGGTGAGGACTCAATGGACTGTTTTGCCAGATGCTTTTCAAAAATTCTGTGTTGTCAGAGCCAACCTCCCTCCTGCCTTTCCTGCCTCTCCCTACCCTACCCCCTTTGAAAATCCCTCCCGCAGTCAATAGTACCACTAGGCCTTTCTCACATCTGCAGTTCCCCCTGCCCAGTGCTCCCCTGAGCTTAGGGTGGCCTGAAGAGAGTGGACCCAGCAAAGGGGTAGGGGTGAAGGCTGCCTGTTGATGAGTGTAGGGTTTCACTACCTTGGGCCCCAGAGGAGGCTGGCTAACAAGCCAAGCATATGGAGTGTATTAAGGTTTTCCCTACATTTTCTCTTTCTCTCTGGTTCCACTCAAGCTTGAAACCACAGACACCTGTGAAAACAAACCCAGTCTGGATGCTTGCTCACCAGTACTGTCTCTCTGTCTTTGTCTCTTTCGTCTCTTCCAGACCCAACTGTGATGCTTCCTGATTGATGATGTTATAACAGTGCCTGGAAGCCAGAAGGCTGCATTTTCAGTTGAATATACCTGAGTTGTCCCCATCACCATGGAGACCCAAAAGGATGAAGCTGCTCAGGTCAAGGGAGCAGCAGCCTCTGTGGATACCCAGGACCAAGGGGAAGAGAAAGGAGCCAAGAACAAAGCAGCTGAAATGACAGAAGGGCCAGCATCAGAGCTACCCTCATCTGGCCCAGGTAGGCTGAAGAAAACTGCCATGAAACTCTTTGGTGGTAAGAAGGGAATCTGTACCTTGCCTAGTTTATTTGGAGGGGGACGAAGCAAAGGTTCTGGGAAAGGCAGCTCCAAGAAGGGTCTTAGCAAGAGCAAGACCCATGATGGTTTGAGTGAAGCAGCCCATGGCCCTGAATACATTGTCAGTGAAAGAACCAGCCTTTCCTTACCTTTGCCTGAGTCACGCTGCCAACTTCCTAGCTCCCAGAGTGCCCATGGGGCTTTGGAGGCAGGCTCCAGATGCAAGACATCTATGGCTGCAGCCACAGAGAAAGCTGGGGCCCAGAAGGCCCCCTCTGTGCCCAAGCCAAAGAAAGGACTAAAAGGTTTTTTCAGCAGTATCCGCCGTCACCGGAAGAGCAAGGTCTCTGGGTCTGAGCAAAGTGAACCAGGGGCCAAGGGGCCTGAGGGGACCAGAGTCAGGCCTCATGAGCATGTGAGCTCAGCCCTTCTGTCCCACACTGAGGAGACCCTCCAAGCCCCAAGAAAGGAAAATGCCAAACCCCAAGATGCCCCTTGGCCAAAAGTTTCTTCAGCACCAGAACCTTCTCCAGCAGCCACTGAGAAGACAGCCTGTAAAGATCCAGAAAAACCCAGGGCCTGTGAGGGCTATGCCTCAGCACTTCTACAGCCTAAAGCTGTCCCTGGAGCCAGTGGCCCAGAGGAGCCCCACAGCCCAGAAACAGGGGAGAAGGTGGAGGCAAGAGAAGTAAATCCACCTAATGGCCCTGTGGGGGACCAGCTGAGCCTCCTGTTTGGGGATGTCACATCCTTGAAAAGTTTTGACTCACTGACAGGTTGTGGTGATATCATAGCAGAGCAGGACATGGACAGTATGACAGATAGCATGGCCTCTGGAGGCCAGAGGGCCAACCGAGATGGGACCAAGCGAAGTTCCTGCCTGGTGACCTACCAAGGAGGTGGGGAGGAGATGGCCTTGCCAGATGAGGAGGAGGAAGAGGAGGTGGAATTAGAGGAAGAAGAGGAAGTCAAGGAGGAAGGAGATGATAACTTAGAATATCTGTGGGCGAGTGCCCAGATGTACCCAAGACCCAATCTGAATCTGGGCTACCATCCCACCACACCCCCAGGCCACCATGGCTACATACTGCTTGACCCAGTCAGGTCTTATCCTGGTCTAGCCCCCGGGGATCTTTTGACTCCTCAGAGTGACCAGCAAGAATCTGCCCCCAATAGTGATGAGGGATATTATGACTCCACCACACCTGGATTTGAGGATGATTCAGGTGAGGCCTTGGGGCTTGTCCACAGGGATTGCCTGCCCCGAGACAGCTACAGTGGAGATGCCCTCTATGAGTTCTATGAACCAGATGACAGTCTTGAGAACTCCCCACCTGGGGATGACTGCCTTTATGACCTCCACGGTCACAGCTCTGAGATATTTGACCCATTCTTGAACTTTGAGCCCTTTTCTTCCTCTCGGCCACCTGGGGCAATGGAAACAGAGGAAGAACGGCTAGTGACTATCCAGAAACAGTTGTTGTATTGGGAGCTTCAGCGGGAGCAGCTTGAGGCCCAGGAAGCCCGGGAGACACATGCCCGAGAGGCTCACACCAGGGAGGCCTATACCCAAGAAGCTCATGCCAGGGAGGCCCATGCCCAAGAGGCCCACACCCGAGAAGTTCATGTCAGAGAGGCCCAAGCCCGAGAGGCCTATGTCAGGGAGGCCTGTGCCCGAGAGGCCCAAACCCAGGAGGCCCGTGCTCGAGGGGCTCAAGTCCGAGAGCTCCAGGCCCGGCAGGAGAAGCCCATCATGGAGTATAAGATGAGGCCCTTAGGCCCATCAGTGATGGGCCTGGTGGCAGGGGCATCAGGAGCCTCTCAGACTTCCCAACGGGGAACTACCTCAGCTTTCCCTGCTACTGGAAGCAGTGAGCCAGACTGGAGGGACTTCCGTCCTCTGGAGAAGCGTTTTGAGGGAAGCTGCTCCAAGAAAGATCAAAGTACCTGCCTGATGCATCTCTTCCAGAGCGATGCTATGTTTGAGCCAGACATGCAAGAAGCAAATTTTGGAGGCTCTCCCAGGAGGGCCTACCCTACTTATTCACCCCCTGAGGAGCCAGAGGATGAGGAGGTTGAAAAGGAAGGGAATGCCACTGTGAGTTTCTCACAGGCCCTCGTGGAGTTCACCAGCAATGGGAACCTCTTCTCCAGCATGTCCTGCAGCTCTGACTCTGACTCATCCTTCACTCAAAACCTCCCTGAGCTACCCCCCATGGTGACCTTTGACATCGCTGATGTGGAACGGGATGGGGAAGGCAAGTGTGAAGAGAATCCTGAGTTCCACAATGACGAAGACCTTGCAGCCTCCTTGGAAGCTTTTGAGCTGGGCTACTACCAGAAACATGCCTTTGACAACTACCGCAGCCGATTCTACCAAGGGCTGCCTTGGGGTGTGAGCAGTCTCCCTCGATACTTGGGACTGCCTGGCATGCACCCTCGACCTCCACCTGCTGCTATGGCCCTCAATAGAAGGAGCCGCTCCCTCGACACTGCAGATACCCTGGAGCTCGAGCTCTCCAGTTCCCACCTGGCCCAGGGCTACATGGAATCTGATGAGCTTCAGGCTCAGCAGGAAGATTCAGATGAAGAAGAGGAAGAAGAATGGGGTAGAGACAGTCCCCTGTCCCTCTATACTGAACCTCCAGGGGCCTATGACTGGCCTGCCTGGGCCCCCTGTCCTCTCCCAGTGGGGTCACTCCCTTCCTGGATAAGTCACAGCCAGTTGGATGGGGCTTCCAGCCAGTCTCCATATGGGCAGGCAGCCTGTTGTGTACCTCCTGTGCCCATGTCAATGTTGTTGTCTGTACTGGGGCCAGAGTCAAGGGCACATGGGGAATCCGGGCCTCAGCTAGCTCGGCCTTCGCACTTACCCTTGCCCATGGGCCCTTGTTATAACCTCCAGCCTCGGGCCTCCCAGAGTATGAGGGCCAGGCCTCGAGATGTGCTGCTGCCTATCCATGAGCCTAGTTGCTCCTCCAGTTCTGGAGGCTTGAGCCCTAGCCCTCTGCCCCATGCCAAGCCTGTGGGCATCACCCTTGGCATCCCTCAGCTGCCCAGCATCCGGCCTGAGACCCCACAGCCTCAGCCCATTCACTACGAGGTTTCCAGCCTTGACCTGTCAAAAGAGAGGGCCGAACAAGGTGCCTCTCTCCCCACCAGCTACTCCTCCACTGCCGTAAATGGAAACTTAGCTGAATAGTCATCATGAATTCTGGAGTAGGGGCATGGGGCCTGAGCATGTGAATGGGGATCGGGGGTTGGGCAGAGGGGTGGGGACTGGGGGTTGCTGTTTAACTTGAAAATCCTTTTGGCCAGGGAAAACTCCTATGAGTTTTCACCTTTGTTTTCCCACTTCCCTGTTCTGCCATCTGTGGCCACATTCAGCTTGAGTCCATCTGCCCAGGGAGGCTGCTGCTGCTGCTGTGCTCTGGTTTTTGCTTTTGGGGTTTCTTCTTGTGACCCACGCAGGGTTTGGGATGCTGTAATTTTGTGCCTATTCCAGTTGCTGAGTTAGTGATGATATATATAGCATGCATCCTTGACACAGGCTGAACCCTTAGGGCCCCGCACTCCCTCCCAACCCAGTGAATGATGAACCACTGATGAGCAGCCAGGTCTGCACTGCCTCCCACTTGGGGACAGGGGGCTTGTTTCCTGTTAGCAATGTGAAATTTTGGTACAGATCCTCCTCATCCCCACTCCCTTCGGTCTTGGAATAGCTGCCACCATTATACCAGATGACTATAATCTATTCACCCCAGCTAGCTGTCCTTAGAGAGGATCAAGTAGCATGTGTCTCACTGCCTATTGCTGTGGACTTTAGCATCGTACCCAGGTGGAGGCCTTTTAACCTGGCGTGCCATAGCTTGGGCTGAAGACAAAAATGCTAATCCCCTTAATGGAGTGATCAAATTCATCAAGTTGCAAAGAGAAGACAAAATAGGGTTCTATCGTAGACACTGCCCTAAGTCTTGAGCTCTGGAATGATAGGATTTTTTCCTTCTTCCTTTCTTAAGCTTATGACTGCCTGAGTTGCAGATGCTTTTGAATTTTGGTTCTTTTTTCATCCAAAGGAAATTTTAATAATCTCATCACAAAGAACACATTCTTTTAATTGAGATACAGGAAGAGAAGCGGCCTAAATTAGGCTTGACCATAGGTGTTGGGGTTTTTGCAAGTTGCAAGGGAAGGATAGGAAAAGGAAGTCCATTCGTCCCAGCCAGCAGGAAAGAAGATTTCAGACATTGCAGAACTCGAGGCAACCCAGCTTCTTAGAAGGGAAAATTGCTTCCCCCTCAAAAACAAAAAGTTCCTTAAGCATTGCCCATCCCTTCATTTGGATGATATAAGAGGATCCAGGCTAGCACTCCCAAGAGACAGGATACCAAAGGCATGTAGGCTGCTGCTCTGGGCTCTCTAAAGAGCTTTCATCTTCCAATTAGCCAAGTCCTTAGCATCATCAGAGGACCGGGCTTCTTGAGAGGAAAGACTGTGACCTGCCCTCACTCTGCCAAGCTGTAGGACTCTGATATACCTGGCAGTTGCAGCCCTTTATGGAAGGAATGACACCTTCCCTTCTCCTATATCCACACAGTTTTCATATTAAACCAGCTTGGCAATACTGGTAGGGAAGAGTTGCTGTCGGGAAGACATTGTAACAGGCTAATCTTACCAGGCTCAATCTCTCATTGATCACCAATATGAGAGGGTTCCTTTTAAATTTATTAATTGGAAATAGCATATGGAACATGTTTTGCCTGGGTATGTTGGCCCAAATTATGATCCTTGACCCCCTGCCCCATCTCTGCCCCCATCTTCCACCCATCTCCATGCCTGTTAAGAGAAGAGGTCAGTAAGAGCTCTTGCCATTCCTGAGATACGGCAACTTAGCTTGGGTACAGAGTGTTGTTGGCATCTCGAGTCAAGGTGACTTTGTGGGCAAACTGCTGCTTGGCCAGGGGATGTGTCCATGCTGCTCTTTGTCACCATTTCTCAGATTGGGGTTGGCCCAGTGCACCTACACATACCTGGCTGGTAGAAGCTATACCCCTGGAAGTACCACATGAGTTTACATGGCACCAACACCACCACTCAATGGACCTAGACCAACTCTCCAGGCTGACTTTGTCTGCGTCATGAAGAAATGCAAGAGTCATGGAGCTGGAGAGTGAAAGAGAGTAAGGAAGGCCCTCCTCACCCCAAGCACAGCTAAGCTCCCAGGCTAGCTAAGCTCCAGGCCTGTCCATTCCAGGAGAGAAGTGCCAAAATTTCAACCATCTGGCCTCTCACCAAAGCTTCCCTGGGAAGGTAGGCCTGAAATTGGCCTGGCTGTTTGGCGGGAAGTAAACACTCACCAAATGCCTTTACAACAGGGGAACATCGATCACTTGTCTCCTCTGTCTCTGCTTGTCCTTCAAGGCAGCTTAAGCTCCTATCTGTATGTGGACTGTGCCAGCCACAGCAAGTAGTAGAGCCATCACCAGCCTTCAGAGGCTGCTGGACCACCAGCCTATCTGGGAAGAAAAAAAGTAGGTAGTCAGCCTTTGGCCAAGGGTGAGAGCGGCCCTCAGTGACAAGAGGGCAGCAAGAGGTGCTGCCTCTGAAGGGAGCATTTGTAGCCCTGACATACTTTGCTGGGCTTTGGAAGGTCGCATACCACAGAGTAGGGCCTAGGATTGAGCAGCAGCTCATGGTTTGGAAAACATTGCTGCCTGCAAGTCTTTTCACTGTCCTGGCCAGCCCAAGAGCAGGATCCTCACCACTAGAAGAAGGGCAGTCAGGGTGCATGGCTGCAGAAGGAGGCTCCTTTGAGTCTTACTCTAGGTCTAAGCAATTCATGGCCAAATCCAAGCTGCAGACTAGAAGAAGGAAGACCTTGCTGGGGACACATGGGGATGGTAGCTCAGGGTGACACTGGGAGAGCTAGCTAAGCTCCAGGCCTGTCCTCAAACATAGGCCAGTGCATGCTTGGCTAGCACCAAATATGCCCCGGACTACTCAAGGCATCAATGTCAAGTCCACATCTCCTAGTCTGTGACCAGGTGAACACCATATCTGCATTGCAAGGTCCTGGGATAATGCTTTTGGATGTGACTTCGAGGGAAGATATGACTTGAGAGGTGGTGGCTGCCCTCATTTTGCTACCCAGCAGGCTGAACTTGTGCCAGATAGTTCTGATCCTGAGAATTCCCAGATGAGACCAGTCCTTGGGGAACCAGTGACTGTGGATAGAGAAGGCCACCTAGCAGGCCTCTACCAGGGCTGCTAGTTTCTTGGTGCTTTAGCGCCTTCAAGGAAGCCCTGCTTTGGGGCCCAGTTGGGGCGTGCCCTGCCCATCTTGACTCAGCTTGGGCACCAGTCCAGAAGCCTCCTGGGCCAAAGGCTTCGGTCAACACTAGTCTCCCTCCCTCCTCAGTGCTGTACCAAGGAGGGAAGTAGCTTTCCTCACCCACAGTGCATTCCCTTCATTCTGCTGCCAGCGACTTTCCCACCCTTGCCAGTGCTACCACCCTACCTGCCCTCGGCCCCTGGGCCCAATTGCTAAGAGGGAGGCATGGGGAGTTTAGCAGGGAGACTTCAAGTTTACCCATGTGTATGTTGCATCCAAGTTGTTTTTAATATATATATATATATATATCAAAAGTCAATTATCTATTTTTGTATTGTTTGCATTTTATATTCATGGAAAACAATGTTTATCAATTGTTCTTTTCTGATATATTTTATTTTTAAGCGGTGCTGTTTACAGTTTTAAACAAAACAAAGATGACACAAAAATTGCTGCTGCTTATGCAGAGGGCTGACATCTCAACTGCCCAGGGCCCACCCTCTTTCCCCTCTCCCCACTCCTGATGTATCTCACTGTCCAATCCCTCCCTCCATGATAGAGACAGCAGAAGATGCCCAGATACTAAGATGAATGCCAGGTGACTCAGGCATGTGGACCCTGGTAGACAGCTTGTCGTCTTATGGCTTTATTTTTTCTTTTGGGCTCTGTGCCCTCCCCATGTGTAGACCTTCTGAAAGTACTCATGTCTCTCTCTGTCTCTCTTTTTCCCTCTTTATGTTTTGTGCTTTCGTTTTGAAACCAGAGTGTCCGTGTTGTGCTATTTGTCATGTTGAGTTTCTCCAAAGGAGCATTTTGGGGACATTCTCCACCCATTGAGGAGGGCAGGTGTTTTCAACCATTACCCCTCTCCCAAAGAAGCTGGGGGAGACAGATGGCAGTGATGTTTGAACCATCAGGAATTGCCGTCTCATTTAGGAAACTCTTGCATGGGACTTCCCAGGAGCCCGGTTGATAGTGACATTTGCCCAGATGAGACGTTGGGGAACTCCTTGACCCCTTTTGTTGCTTTGGGGGAATCTCTCCCCCTACATCATTCCCCCTCCCATGCCCTCCTCCAGATCACATGTGGATGGTAGTTTGTGGAACAGTGACTGTCAGGGTGATGGATTGCTGGCTTGATCCCCACTTTTCCATCCTATAGTCACTCCAAAGAAGAAAATCTACATGGCATGTATGTGTGTGAGGTTTGGGCCTACTCAGAGGCAGGGCTTTAATTATTATTTTTATTACTATTGGTGCTTATTTTCCCTGCTGTATATAGGGCTGGGGGGTGAGGAAGAAACCAGGAATGTATACTTAGGTCTTGTTAAATAAAATGGCTGGAGGACAGAGGGAAGAAATTGGGAAGTGTAGTACCTCCCACCCCAGTTGTAAGAGTTCTTTTTCTCCCAGTGCAGAAAGGGGAGCGTGGCCCCTGGATGTGTGCTAGCTTCCTCTTCCCTATCCCTGAGACATCACAGAATTGCCTGGATTGTAGCCTCTTCAATCCTAGCTCTCACTGACATGTGGATATCTTGATGCACTGCCTGTTTGTAACGTATTTCTTTTGCTGAATGCTAATAAACTTGGTTCAAGAGGGAGCCCCCCAGTCACTAAAGTGCATTCTTGTGGTTTGTTCCACAGCAGCATGCCTGTGAACCATGGTTGTTGGGTTTACCCTTGAAGGGAAATGGAGAAAGCAAGGAGTTGGGGGTGAGGGGCTGGGGACCCAACAGGGGAAACAGATGCCAGAGTTGAAACTGAAAGTAGAGGAAACCTCAGTTTTTCATCCAAGGCATGCCATGCATCTCAGTCTGATGCTATGTTGGTAAACATTCCATCACACCTTCCACACCCTGAGACCTTCCAGGGGTTGGCTAGCGCTTCTGAAATTAGCTTTCATTAATGTAAATGTGCTGGCATTCCCACCAGCCAGGAGGCAGAGGTGTGGACCTCCTACTGATGGCTCCATCAAAAGGATGTGTCTAATAGTGGGACTCTCAGGCTAAGCCACAGGAATGGCATCCTTGACCCAGACCTATGGGCAGAGATGCTGGCCGGGCAGCTGCCTGCCCCACCTATTCAGCTGTGGAGCTGAGTGGGGAGCATGTGGCTTTTGTCCCTTATTGCATGGCATCTCATCCGATAGGCACCAGAGGTGTACCACAGCAACAATCCAGTCACCTTAGGGTCATGTTCTGATTTCCAGGCTTGTCCTAGCCTAGGTAGGAATCACCTGCCCCTTTCTATTACCCACACAAAGGCCTACCTGTGCCATCAACCAGGAGAAGGTGATGGTGCTAATGGCTTTGGTTTCTCTAATCCAGATTCTTACCCTTGGTCCCTGGCAAGCAAGGGCATCCGGCACCTGGTGGTGGGCTTCCTTGAGTTCCACCCGATTGCCGTGTCCAAGCCAGAAGGCCTGAAATAGCAACTGCTTGAAAGTGCTATGGACAGTGATGCCACAGACACAATTGGAGGGCTCCCTGGAGTCTCTTCCCAGACTGGCAAAGAAGCTTGGTGGCCCCCAGGACTTCATGAATCAAGTAAAGCCAAAATAAAAGCAAATTAGAGAGGAAAGTGAGGAGGGGAGTTGATAATTCATAGAAATTGAATTTTTTGCCCTGGGCTGCTCATGGAAGGCAGAAGAGGATTGTGGTTGATCAGGGAGCTTTTGGAGCAAGACCTTCTTGGAAAGTCTTATTATATCCATTGGAATATCACGGGGGTCATGGAATCAGGGAGGCCTGGGTTTCTGCCCTGATTTTTGCCCCTCATTAATCAATTGGGACTTGGGCAAATCCCTTCACCTTCTGAGTCTCAGTTCCCTTAACAATAGTACGCAGGTGGCATGAGCATAGATTTGACTAGACTGGTTTCCATATGCAAGTCAGAAGATTGTGGCTACTCAGAGTGAACCATGGAACTTTTTCAACTACCTAAGTCCAGCACTCCCCGCCTTGATTATGACTCAGTTGACCACAAATGGAGTTCTTTTTTGTGGTACCCCACCTGACTCTGGTGCATTGGACATGCTGGACAAGATGAGTGATAAGAGCTCCTATTCTGCTGTGACCAATGGCTGCCTTCACTGTGGCCCCAGAGGGGTTCCTCTGTGATACTGGAGGGGGCATTTGTAGAGGAAACCTTCTAAGACTTTTCTTGGATTTTCAAGAAAACCACCTTGATTAACTCCAATGCTGTTCTCTGGTCCGCTTGAGGGCTGGGGTTGTACGTAGCAAAAGGGCTGCCTTTGTTCCCAGTTTCTGTTTAGAGCAAATGTAAACCCAACAGATAAGAGACCGTTGTGCAAGCCTTTTGGAGAATGCTGTGGGCAAGCTACTAACTCCCCACTGCCCTCACCCTGGGTGGGCTCTAGGCTCTACTGACCATGTTATTCTCTCTCTGGATAATTCCTAAACTTTGGCTGGGCTGTATGGCTTCTGGGAGCCAGACCTAGCCAATAAGAGCAAGTGCCCTGAGGGTAGCACTTTCTAGTCTGCTAACTCTTTCCATCTCCGTTATCTTCTAAAAGTTCACTGAAGCAGATGGACAGAGCAGATGATTTCATCCCAACTTTACAGCTGAGGATATGGATGCATGGAGAAGTGAAATGACTTGCTCATGGTAATATAGAACATTGACTCCAAGTCAGGGTGAGAAAGAGGGTGGGCAGGCTGGGGTGGAAGATTTGATGGAAGAGAAAGATTACTGCTAATAATTCTCCAAGCACAAAACGAATAATATCATTGATATGTGCCAGGCACTAGACAATTTAACTACATTATCTTGTGTAATCCTTATCATAACTCTATGAGGTTGACATTGTTATCTGCATTTTAAGATGAGAAAACTGAACCTCAGAAAGGTTAAGA